TCTCTGCCAGATTTAAAAAGGGCTGTCCATTTTTTCACAGTGGTGTACGAAGGAGCAGACTCTCCTAAAACTTCATCCATGTCAGCTTTGATTTGAGATGCGGTCAACCCTTTTTTCGTCAGGTATTTTATGGCCGCACGAGTCTCCGTCTTCTCCATTTTTGACAAAGCATGTGCACACTGACTATCTGCTAAGCTGTCGTGGCAAAACTTTTTGACAAATCAAGCGGAAATTGGTATTGTATCTTTAGCAAAGATGGCTGAATTATTCCCGCCAAAAATTAAATTGATCGCAGCGCCGCATATAGGCAAGGCCGCGAACTTTCCGAACAGCCCTCGTAGAAAGATCAAGAAATGGTTCTATGAAATTTGATGAAATTTGCCATAAATGCTTACGATGTTAATAGATGCCTGATGATCATTACATTAAAAAAATCTGTCTGATTTTGATAAATTTCTAATTATTCCAAAATGTCTTCAATCTACAGACTTAAGACATTTGAGAGTAACTGAATCTTTTTGTCCAAATTTCAAAATACACAGAAATAATCTATTTGTTATCAGAGACATAATATCATTGTGAAAATTCTCTGCAAATATTTTCAAAAGTCATTGAGGCATTTTTCAAAGAATTTTCACAATGATACTAGATGTCTGATAACAAATAGATTATTTCTGTGTGATAGTGCATACTTTATAGCTATGATTGGGATTTGTAATAAATTAGCATAAAGATTATTAATAATTTGTTTATTATTTTATTGCAGAGACCTTATTATTTTGTGGTACATTCATATAACTCATTCATCACAGATGTAACATATTTATGATATTTCATTACATGACTGTATATATTGCATCACCAAATAATGGCAAAGATTACAAAGACACTACTCATAAAATTCTCCATCATAAATCTTGGTCCACTTTGAATGGTTGTTTATACAGTGCTTCAAAGAAGGTTTGCAGATCTGCATTATCCAGACCTGCAGCTTGACAATGTAAGTGTACTGTACATGCAGTTTTTGGATCCTTTCTATCACAATGCTTGCACTTCCATTTCTGAAAGTTTTGAGGTTGTTCCATTATTCACTGTAACCTCCTATTTCATGTTATATTTTTCATCCATTTCAATGTAATTCACAGAAGCTGTGTCATGAAACAGGATATGACAATGACATAGATTATCACACATTTATTATATATGATAAGGATACTATTTAATAAAGAGCATTTACATCCTACTTGGCTACTTTCCAGCACTCAAGTCCTGAAGATGACACACCAGCACTAGGTTCAGGTATAACACAAAGGCCTTTATCAATATGAGCAACTTCTTTGCTGTCTCTGGAATCTTCAGACTAATGTGGACTGGAACATAATCAGGATCAACATTGAAGTCTTTGTTTTCAATGTCAAAAAAAGAAACTGAATTGCCAATACCACCATTTTGTATCTGTATTTCCATTCAAACATTCTAAGTCATTATGCCTAACCACAGCATACATCAAAATGCATTTGATCTATAGTGTAAGATTCATGCATAGAACTAAAAGCATTTAAGATCCACAACATATTACAGGTAACCCCCATATAATACGGGAGTTACGTTCCAA